TAAAATCCGGAATGAATCATCAAAGTCATGTTGGAAAAAAACTGCATGACGATATATTTATGACACAAAAAAAAGAGGATGTGTTCTGAATCATCATTTATCAGTGATTACCTAAAAAGCAAATTTGTTTAAAAAAGAACATATCTCTAAAAACTATAACTGCTGTGTAATCGTTTTATTAAATAAAAAAAGGTTCTTTGGAAAGATTTATATTTTAATGCTTTCGAAAACTGAAAATGATCTTATAAAGAGCCTAATTATTTTTACAAAACTAGTCGTCGTTTTCTATTACTATGGAGTTATGTTACATTATTTTGTTTCAAAAATAGGCACATTACTATTTTAATCAGTGACTCTGGTCAAATACTGAACAAAAGTTCTTTTCTCTGGCAAAATCAATACTAAGAAATAGTTCTTCGTTGTTCACTTTCTTCGAATTGAATTGTTTTGAAGTTTTTGTAAAACTATTATTAATAGATGTATCGGTTATTCAAGTATGTTTGCAAGAACAAAATTTGTTCCTTTCTATAGTTTTTCATCTCAGCTATATTATCTAGTTAGCATGTGAGACTTCTATATGTGAACGCTATTATTTGACTGGCAACTAACCAAGAAACCTCTTTGATTGTTCCATTCCAATTTCAATTATTTTTTGCTTATAGATACTATATAATGTTCTAATAAGAATCCTGAAATGATCTGAACTCCTATTGAGATTTGGCTATGCTATCGAAGTTTTAATGTCTGCGTTTTTAGAAACTACAGAAGGACACCAAGTTTAATGAAAACTCATACTTTTGAATTTTGATTCGAAACTTTGTATGTATAGAGAACTTAACTAGAGTAGTTTCAATCAAGAATTGAGAAGGGTTAAACAAAGCTTCTTCAAAATATGAAATTTTCATCATATACTCTTTTCCATGGATATTGATAAAACATGCATTTCTTGAAAGCTTCAAATTTCGAAGAGACTTTTCAAAAATTCTTTTTTTTTTATCGAAGCTAGTACATAGGATTCTGAAAAATAAAACTCATCAATGTAATCAAATCTCAATAAGAATTCAAATCCCTTAAGGATTTTTATTAGAAAATTGTGTAGTATCTATAAGCAAGAAATCATTGAAGTCAGAAATAGACAACTGAAGCAGCTCGCTCGTAAGTTCATTTGCCTCTCTTTGTTCAACTACTTTTGATATTGTTTCAATTTTTTACTCTAAGAGTTATTGAGAACAATGATGATTTTCATTATGTGAGCTTTTTTTCTTGTCCGTATTCTGATATATATGTCCGATTAGGCATCAAGAAAAAGCACAGTTAGGATAGTAGGTCATTTGATGTATCTCAGATCAGTCGAAGGTATGAGACGATCAATAATTTTTAGGATAAATGGCCTTTAATGATTAGCAATAAGGAAAGAAATCCAGCCAATCATTGAGCAAAAAAAGAATGATTTTTCGATTTTGTAGAGCTGACTCTCCGATTCCTCTATCAGCTCAGGACAGCTTTGTACGTTATTAGACAAAATATCTACAAATAACACCCGTATGCTCAAAATCTTTGTTTATCGGTTTAGGTTCGATTTTTTACACAATGTCTGACAGAAACGATTTAATAAAATATTCTATACAATGTTTTAAATTATAATTATATCATGATCTTCATTAAGTGAGAAGCTATATTGTGGAATAAGTATATGTAGAATTTATTTAAATAATTATGTTCTTTTTGAATACCTTCCACTGGATCATTGTTAATTGTTCTTTGAGCATAATTGGCAGCTATCAATTCCTGCTGAAAACAATATATAATATCAGCCATATTAATCAATTTATTTCAAATAATTTTTACTTGTCGTTGTTGTTCGTCCATCCAAACAATGCTATTATGTATCCGTTCAATTTCATTTTCGATCATTGTCTACAAAGATAAAAAAAACCAGGAGTCCATCTCCAATATGAAATAAACACATACATTCATTATTAATCAGAGTTTATTCTTTATCCGTGAGTGAATTGGTTACTATCTAAGAATAAATAAAAAATATATATAGAAACAGCCAATTAATGGATGCTTGCCTATGATATGCCCGACGCGAGATTATAAAAATAGAACAAGTCAGCGACAAATCGAATTATTTATTGTTCCAAAGTAACATAGAAAAACGAAATAGATTCTAAAAATAAGGGAATGATGAACGGTTCAGCGGAGGATCTACGATTTTGAAAAGGAGATACTTCAGACAAAGGAGCGGTCATAGGCAAAAATCGTTTGTTTTAAAGGCTTATTCGAAGTAGTATGAACTTGTTTTTCCAGGAGAAACGATTCTTGAAAAAGAAAAACAAACACACAGTCTTTTTCTCCTTTATTTCCAGTAGAGCAACGACGTGAAATTTTTTTCCTGCGTCGATTTGTGTCTAGTGATTAGAGAAAATTGAAAAAAATATTTCTGTACTGTTTTTTCTTTCGTTTTCTTTTCGTCTTTTTCCGTATCTCTGTCCTACTCTGTTGGCTTTTTCCATTAGTCCTCTTCTTCTTTTTTTTCTTTATTTTGTCTCTGTTCTCTCATCTGTTTTTTGGGTTCTTGCTTTTATCCCTTTTCATTTCTTTTCAAGCTATTGTATGGTAGGAGTATGCAATCTCAAGCTCAATTGTCCCTTTAAAACAGGGTCATAAGGCTAAAATAGGCATAATAAAAACAAGTTGAAAAAATAATACAGTACTTCCTACCAATGACATTATACAGTTTCTGAGAAAAAAAGAGTCAATTTATCAAAAAAGAAAAATAATTTGATACTCAAGCCACCAATATGATGTTTACGCGGTGTGAGTGTGGGTGTTGGTGGGGTGCGAGTGTGGGTATGTGGGTGTGTGGGGGGTGTGGGTGTGGATGTGTGTGGGTGTGTGGGTGTGGGTGTGGGATGTGGGTGTGGTGTGGGATGTGGGTGTAAGATTGGGTGTGGGATGTGGGTAGGTGATGCGGGTGTGAGATTGGGTGTGGGTGTGGGCGTGGGTGTGGGCGTGGGTGAAGTAAAGACACACCCCACACCGAGCCGCACCTACACCCACACCTGCACCCACGCACACCCACACCCACCTGCTTCATGAAAATTGCCCACTGTAAAAAGGCTCTTAGCCGAGTCGAAACGCGTAGTGGTAGGTCTATATTCTCTATACTCATCCTCACTCTCTATTCAAATCACATGAGCAGTTTTTTATTTTTATTAAAAGAAGTTCCATCAATGTCGGACTTGTTTTATTGATTTCAGTTCTTTCAAATATAATTGCAGTTGCATTTTTCTATCTTTTAATTCAATATTTTCTTTTAACATGGCAATTTCTCGTTCTGTATACATAATAAGATGATGATAGGGTGGATAAATTGCTTCATAGATGTTCATTTTTTTTTATCATATATTCTAATGCTTCATTATAATCATCTTTTAACATGTGAATTATACTAAGATGATGATAAGCTTCAGCAATAAATGGATGAACAGGAAGATATATTTTCTCTTTTATGCTCAATGCTTTTCTAGCGACATCAATAGCTTTATTATATTTGCCTTTGCTTGACCAAACGTTACTGATCTTTTCATACAAATCTGTAATGGTTGAGTCATTTGATGATGGTAGTAGTTTTTTTTGAATTTTCATGGCTTTAGTATGCATCTTTAAAGCAGTACTATTGTTATTCATTTCATGATAAACATCACCGAGCTTAGACCAGCGGCGGATCTAGGATTTTTTTGATAAGGGGCGATTTTGACCAAAAATCGAGTTTTGAAGTTCATTAGTAGTAGTATGCACTCTATTTTTAAGTCTTTTCTGCTGGGAAAAATCGAAAATTTTTTTTTCGAATGGGGGCGATCACCCCAAGCGCTCCCCCCCTAAATCCGCCACTGGCTTAGACCATACATCGACAAAATCATTTGTTTTTTTAGTTTTATTTACTTTTGCATACATTTCGAGAGCTACATGGAAAAATTCAAGACTTTGCTTGTATTGTTTTTGACGATAGAAAACATGAGCAATGGGCGATGTCGGGTGCGCAGCAAATTGAATATTCGGTGGAACAGCACTCTTAAATAAGTCACGTACATGCATAATATTATCTAAGGCTGCTTTATTTTGTGTGCTTGTTAAATATTAATTAATGATTATTTTGTCTTCGTCTGTAGTAGTCATTTCAACTCTCCAAAACTGTTCCACATTGTTATAATAGACATTATTAATTTTGAATGTGCTACCTATATCAAATAATACCTCTGATTCATCTGAAATCATACTGATTGCTCCAATATCTGCTAGAATATTTGTTTGTGATTCTATATTAACATTGATTATGAATAGTGTTGGTATCTTTTCATTATTAGTCGGTATTTCAATCCCAGCATACATATATGCTACGTCTATATCTCGTGTTGTTGATAGAAATCCATTTGTTGATATTAAATTTCCAATACTTTTACACATATTTTCTACATCATTGAATGGCATTTGAAGTCCACGATAGTGTAAAAGTGGACATGTTTTTAAATTTTTGAAGATTTTTATTTTCTGTTCGAAGAGTTTTATTAACTAGTTGAAAAATAAAAGTCGTAGATGTATACCACTGTATGGCTTTGCTTGGCTCGTATGTTTGTTCAAATTTATCTATGTTCTCAAACTAGCGTTTATTTTCACGGTAATAATCACGACATTAACTAAGCATTTCTTTTTTGGCATGTGATGTTTGAGGTATTTTTATTAAAACATCTTTTAACATTTGAACCCATAAAAACTAAGCTGATTCGCGATTCAAATCACGGGTTGATTTTTGCTTTTTATCATATAAATTAAATATTGCCAATTGTTTAGCTGCTAATACAATATTGTCTTGAATACTTCTGATTAATGCTTCTAGTTTTGTAAATATACCAATGATTTTTGGATAGTCTTGAATTAATTGCTCATTGCTTTTTTCTTTTCGTGTGAAAAATATGAATATAGTATCGATTTGTTCAAATATTTGTTGAAGATAAATCAGTACAAACAAAAAATATTTTTTCATCTTTCATTGATTCGATATATTGAATACATTTTTGTTCTTGTTCATGGAAAATAACATAATCGTTTACTTCACAAAGAATTTCTTTTATATGTATCACATCATCTGTATTTATGTTAGTGTTTTCATCAAACCATATTAATGTAATTTCTTCATTCTTTTCTTTTGTTGATGTATTGACTACGTTAGCTATTGAATCAGTTGTGGAGGCAACAAGATTTAATCGATGATCATCCATTATAGACTTCTTTACTATATTACCTACTATGCACTATCGTTTCGTAACTAGTTAAAGTTGAAATTCTTTTTCTTTACGCAAACCTCTTTTATCAGATAACAAGCATTTATTAGCCTGTTATAAATTTCTATGAACAGGTAAGCAAGAGAATAGTAAGGATAGAAAAAAGAATAATGAAAATGTTGTAACAAATTATTATAGAGCAACTACATGATATCTACCGAGGGTGTGGATGGGAACAAAGAGAAGACAACATCTGCACGCTTAAGTCTATCCAATTTCAAGATTTCGCCAACAATGTGACTTCCATGTCTGCGTTATTTGAAAATTAAATAAGTGACCATCAATGAATTTCATATAATTCTTTCTCAAACGCCACACTTATACTTTCTGAACCTTCTGTCCTAGATAACATATTAAATAATGAATACTTATTACTGTCACTTCATTTATCATTAAAACAATTCACTCTCAAAATAGTCAGTAAGTATAATTGTAATCATGAAAGTAAAATTTGATATATTATGTGAACACGTGATCTTTTTTGTGTATTGATAATTTACAGATTCACAAGTTTCAATAGATTAACTTAAACAATGCTGAGTATGCGTGTGGCTTTGCTCTTCACTCACACACCCACACTCATAATTTGAAGTATCTTTTGTCAAGCTGAAATTATCAATGATACAAGCACTATATGTTTAAAGTGTCTGTATTTGCAGATACGGTAATACATGTGGGTACTGTATAGTCCTTAATGGCGGATGCTTGAGGATGTGGATGTAAGTAAGATTAAGAGTAACAAAAATCACATCTACACCCTCCACAATAAATTTTCAAAAGTTCGTTTCTTTGATCTGTTCATCAATGGTTTCTTCATCGGTTCTTGCTAAGACATTTGAAGCTTTACACAAACAACTGTAATTCAGTATTTTTCGTTGAATCCATGTGACTATGTTAATTTCACGGAATCGATTCATGTAAACATTGGATGGATAAATATAGATAAAAAATGTAAACACCATAGGCATATAATACAAAAAATCAAGAGCAATATGTAATCGGATGTAAGCATTTTGCTTACTTTTCTCTATGCAGTATGTACCAGCAATGCTTATCAACAATCGTTCCGGTAGTGTACAGACGATAACCACTATTGGTGGTATAAAGAAATCTTTGTGTCTCGAAATTTGTTGAATAATAAGGGACAGCCATGAATTTCTTTGCAAGTCAGTCAATGTGATTTTGTGACGAATAATATGTGTTAATGTGAGAAGAATTGATAAAAAATGCAATGTCCATGGTACAACAATATGCAAGTAAAAACTGCCAGTAATTTTGTCAATTGATTTTATATGTTCATTTGTATAATGGTTAAACGAACAGACGTAAGATGTTGACAAATCAGGATTTTCCCCAACAGTCCGTCCGAAAGCTGTAATAACACTTACTGCAGTAAGGAAGACGAGCAAAACAATTGAAAAAATAGCTGAATACTTGCGCGTACGATAAATACTATAGTCACAAAACTGAATGAGTGCTCGTTCAACAGCAATGAATGCACTAAGCCAGAGGCATACATAGAATGTTAAATAAAGAAATGTTGGTATAACTTGACAATATACTATTGGCTGTTTCTTCAATTCATCATTGAACAACAACACTACAATAGCAATGACTTCCAGTAACGCTATACAAAGAAAACTGAAGATAGAATAGAGTATTATATATTGTCCACAAACTGTAATACGTATTCTATATATAAAACATGTTACAATACTCAAATAACTATTGCTAAATGATAGTAGTGTGAGAAGTGAGAATACGAAAATATAGATAATCTTTAAGGCCATTTGCTTAGTAGTTACTTCTTCACGGAGAATATCGATTGACATCGATGACATCATCGTATATTGTACATAGTAGCGAATATTTTCACAGAATTCACCCTGTGTACAATCACTGCAGACACAATGATACGTTGTTGTCGCATTCACCATGATCTTCACACATTGTCCATTGTTTAGACACTTACATTCATTCATTTTGATTTTGTGTAACAATTGAAAAACTTTTTCAGGCTCGTTTTAAGCAAATATGAAATATTTTGTGCTGTCTTCAGTCAATATAGCGTGTGAATTGTAGATTCTATTGAAAATAACATTTTTTTTTCTCGTTACTCCCACATTATTTCGTATGCGTATATAATTTTCATATATTTCAAAAAGATTAATTGAAGCTGCTGGATATTGTGTATTCATGTGCAAAATATGACAGTAGTTAGGCATTCATTATGATACTGCGTTTTTATGTATGCACTCATAGAATATTCGTCTGTATAGTTTTATTTAGCAACTCAATAGAAACACAAATGGCATATGATTTACTTCTGTTTTTTTTTGACGAAAAGGAGAACAGAGATACGTGATAACAGGCCTCGCAGCCGTATTACTTCCCTGATTTTTTAAAAGTGTCCTGATTTTCCTGATTTTCTCCTGATTTATTCCTATAGAACGATTACTAAGCGGTTATTATTCATTCTTTTATTATCATCAGCTTATTCCTCAAAATTTATCTAAAAATATATATAGACTAAATTAAACCAAAAACAAAGATGATATTCACATAATAGTTAGTTCAGTCACTCGTTTTTTGTTTTTGTAATCGGTGTAAGTTTTCAACATTTTCAAATAATTGAGTTTTCAATACATAGTTAGCTCAGCATTAGTAATCAGAGATGTGTATCGTGCTTAAAAAACTAGGTGAGTGCAGTATGAAGGTCGCTAATGATTGCAAAACAGCTGTGAAGTCGACCATTGCCATAAACTCTTTTCGCTCGACAGTCGCATCCTATAACAAGTAGAAATTTGTTCCGTGTTATTTTTTCATATGCGTTGCGCTATTATATTTCTTGAAACTAGTGTTTCATTTCCGAACACTCGCGTAGGGACAATAATATAGATTTTAAAACACCACGAATGAACATTTAATTAGAACCTATGTATACACACGTATAGGGGATAGCATATTATGAATGAACCTTTCTTCTTCTGTATTTTCGAGAACCTTAAAACGTTTCTAGAAGCATGATTTGTAAAGAAAAAACATAGAATATTTTGCTTTACAAGAATATTAAGTCCGTAGACAAAAAATTATTGTTTTTATATGTAAGCATACGAAACAGAAAAAAGTATGAAAATCAGTACTGCCTCTTTAGTAGAATAGAACTGATTATAATAGTTGAATTTGAGCACTTTTATTGATCGATGTGTCAACATCAAACCTTTATTTTTGAATCGAAATTTTCAACAAGATTGACTATCTTGTTCAAAGTGAGCTTCCAGTTTGAAAAAGTTAAATTCATAAAAGAAATTCGGTTGGGATAGTTAAATGATAACTTGGATAAGTAAAGAAAAAGAAATCATATTATTGACTGAAGAAAAGGAAAAGATGAAAAGCGCATTAAATATAAAATTAGATGGAAATATTTGTTCGAACTACTTCGAAGTTCGTCTTGAACAGAAAATCAAAAGATAATCGTTCCATATAAATATATATCAGCCCAGAGTACGTTAAGAAATGGATGACAAACGAAATCTTATTTTCTGTTGAATTCGTTTTCATATTGATGAACTTTAAAATAAAGAAGCTTCTCTATTGACTTTATCTACTTATAAAGCGCAAACTGTGTTCGCAGATATATCCGACCAGAAAAATATTCTAACTAACTCTTTCAGATCCACCATGCTAAATACAGTACGGTTTTTCAAGTTTCATAATCTTTGAATAACTCTCCAATGCAAAAAGATATCAAGAAACTGTTTTCTCTATTATATAGAGGAGGTTTCAATGTACATATCTATATAAGAGTTATCATCCTAATAAGACCACTAAGGTAGTAAGTCTGATGAGACTTTGCAGCAACATTTCTATTTTAAAAAGGAGGGCGAACAATGCCCTTTTGTGGCTCGCGAAATGGTTTGACTTTTACTGTTGAAGTCAAGTTAGGAGTGACCCGTAGTGATATTTCAAAATTACACAAATAATTTATTTGAATGAAAAATTCTCAAACGTGTAAATTGCTTGAAATCAGAGGATCGTTCGTTTTATTATTATTATTTCGTTGATAGTGTAAAATGTTTTGAGTGCGTAATGTGGAGAGATGACTAGCATGTTACAACTGGATCATCTATGTGTCATATGAATCGAATTTATGTTCATCTTTCCTTTCCTATCAGTGTTCTGTTCTTTGTTCCAAGACAAAAACGATCATTGACCAATAGGAATAAACCGATCAGATAATTTAGACATAGATAAAACAGAAAAGAAAAGAAAAAATAATATTCACGTGATCGCACAAGTATAAATATAAACACGTACAGAAGTCAACACATACATGTAAAACCGCTGTTTATCTATACTACTGTTCCCTCCTTCGAAACAATATAAATATTAAAGGAAAAAAATTAGTGTGATACAAAAAATAGTAAACATGTCCAATTAAATACTCTGTACGTTTAAATAGTATGTATGGAAGAATTCGCAACACACGTTTCTCTTTGTTGTTCTTCTCACATTTTCATGTAGGTTTTGAAACATCTATCTTTTTCTATATTAATTTGAGCCATAGATATTTCTGCAAATATGAGAAAGTAAACACGACTATGATAAACAACAAATAAATTTTCTATTTAAAAAAAAAGCAGCATAGAAGAACAGAACACTATACGTTAGTTATAGCTGATTGTATCAATTAACATTGTATAAAGCTGTGTTATACTATTCTGAAAAATAACGTCACAGTGTAAAGCAATTATCCAAGTAGTCAATATAGAAATATATTTTTAGAAGGATTCAAAGTAAGATAAACTCTTTTAGTAAAAAAATTAGGCAAAAAGTCAATCATGTCAGCAGATTTTCATAGATATTATCAAGAGTATTCATGTAAAATATTGAGAATGCGTCATTAACAAAGTGTCACTTAGAGAAAACGAATTTTG